AACTTAAAACATATTTTAGCCAGAACTTTTTACATAGGACACCGCTAAAGCTACTGCATGCCAACAAAGTAGAAAATTAAACCGAATACATTATTTATAAAACTCGCACCTTACTGAAAGGACAGACCAAAAGAGGAAATGTGTCAGTCCACCAACAGTTGTACTGAAATTCTTTAGTAACCTGTACATCTCATTTTTACTTAATAGCACAATCTTAGCAAATTCCATTGATTTAGATAGATATTGAAAATTTATACTAGTACCTCTCTTATTTGAGAAAAGTAGGATAGAAATTTTGACTGGTTCTTGCTGTTATATATTTTATGAAAATAGGCATTCAGATTTTAAAGCAAGTTTCGTAACTATCTTTATATATTCTTCCAAAGAACTGAATTTATCTAATGTTTCTTAACTGCTATTATTATGGTTTTACAGTGCACATCTTTCTCTTGTAGACTGTTTCCCCGCTCTGTTTGGTAATTAGATACCAGATTGACACAAGGACTTGAAATCAGGGCATGATATTGCTGAATTAATGGAGGAAAGTGGTTTCCTTTCAACAGGAAATGTATCAAACGGAGCTGAATCAGTCAGTCACCACTTGAGGACACAAATTAATTTTATTTAATTTTATTTAAATGTGATAGTAATCTAAATGAAAGCATGTTGTAGCTAAATCAAAACATGAGTAGGGGCGTACTAAGTGTTATGAAATAAAGTTGATCTTTTTTGTCATTGATTTTTTGTTGATCTTCATAGGTATCTTAAATTAAGTAAAATCATGTTCAGAAACTGTTGATGATAACTGTGGGTATGAAACAAATGAACTTTGTCTTATACGAGAGCAGGACCTCTCCCATATAAAGGTGTTTTTCTTGGAAGAAAACCATTTCAATAGATAACCAATAAAGCGTTTTCATAGTAATGCATGAGTGTTAATTTATGAAAAACAATATGGAAAAACCATGTGATGTTGCAGAGGAAATTTATAGGAATGATGCTGATGAACCTTAAGTTTATTGCTTTGCGCGGATAGGTAAACTATATCACAAAACTATTGTCTCAAGATGTGATAAATACAACAACTTTGGGTTAACTACAATGTAAGTAAGCAAAGCTTTACTTACAAACTTTGCAGGGCATCTAATTTACCATCCAACATAACATACATCCTTAAACAAGAATTATTAATAATCTCACACAATCTTTTTAATGTCGTATCACACATACCCAAACATTGGGTAATTCATTAAGCTATCCTATCCAGTAATAAATATCCATTAATACTGATAATGTTGCTGGAGAAATAAAATTGTATAAATGGTACATGCTTCTGAAGTGAAATCTAGTAAAATGTAACAAGCTCAATAAAAAGACTAACAATACATGGCACCATAATATAATATAAAAATATATCGATTACCTTTAGTGTTTGTTATTCACAGTCGCAGGAAAAATGAGCAAACAAAATATGCATCATTTATAGGTAGATGCATTGTAGAGATGCATGGTAGAGAGACAGATCATACCAGCTGAAGCAGTTATACCGATAATATATGTCAATTTCAACTTACTGACACTAATGATATAAAGCAGCCTGGGAAGGCTTCAAGCAGGGCACATCACAGGGTACAAAAGAGTTTTGACCAGGTTTTTAAAAAAGGGCAAACATGACCTGTTAAAATTCAAGAAGTTTTGGCACAATATGACATAAATACCATTGAGCCGATCATCAAGTTTACTTATGTTGCGGCCAGCCGCAAACACACTACTTTTCATGGTCTCTGACATTTTAAAACTGTTACTGGTATAAATAACCTATCACAAAAACATTGTATATTACATGAGAATGTTTTCCAAAGGTTATGGTAATGGTGAAGAGCATTCAAAATTCATTAGGATAGAATGTATTCCATATGGGCTTTAGAGCAGTAATTTGCTACTATTGCTCTGAAGCTATGGGTATAAAATAGCAATGTCTGACTACATCGGGGACAAGGCAAGAAGTCTGTTAGAAGCGCAGCAGATATTTGAAGTTAAACTGAATGTCACACATGAGTGTGGAAACAGAATTCAAAATACTTCACCCAAAACCTGCAGTAAACTTCGGAAATTTTGGGCACATCCAGCGTGAAGACAGAAACTTGCACTGTACAATTTCTTAGGTAAATTACGGTATATAACAGGTGTGTAAAATTTATCAAAATGTCAGTTCTAACCAAATCACAGAAATCTTCCCAGTCAATCACTATTGAACGCAATTCAATGTTAGAATTACACAATATTAACTTACACTGACAAGTAAACAGGTGAGCAGCTATGAACACAAAAATGGTGCTACATCGTAGAAGGCATAAATGACTAACCCTGATAGAGTAATGCTGACCACCTTATTAAACATTACTGCAGTACTTTTCTTAATAAACAAGTTATAAGTGATATATCATGTTTGTAAAATCTAATTACAAACACATTAGTTTTCAGTATTGTATGTATTCACATTCCATGGTGTAAAAGCAACAAAACTAAAGAAGTGTGACACAAAATTATCTTAATATTCAGGAAATTCTCACAGGGAAAGAGAAATGTAGTTTCTTAAGATCAAAAGGCATTGGGTGATAAATGGCTGGTATAATTACCAGCGATAATAATGTAGAAAGAAATAAACTAAGGACTAGCTAGCATAAAGTTTAAATCATGATACACATCTTATACAAATGACCAATAAGACAAGCCATTATTCCAAAATGTAATCCTTCTTTTAAAAATAAAAGCATATGTGTATTGTAAAAGTAACCCATGCCAGACTTTATCACCTGTAAGACTGATGGGTGCTGGACGAATCCGAACTAGGAGAATAGAGGCTAGGAGTTTGGCTTTGACTTAAAAATGTGCTTGAATCCGAAAGTGAATAAATACCGGGCTCAAAAACAGGCGGATATTCGAGTCCAGGGTAATCTGGTGGAGGACTGAGAGGTGTCTGTGGAGGACTGAGAGGCGGACTCATAGCAGAAAGGTTGCTGATATTACTGAAAGATGGTGGCGTTGGCCCAGGCTTCTTACCAAGCATTGAAACACCCATGGTTGGCTGAAATCAGAATTCAAAGCATTAATTAGTTACAAATTGTACACAATTATTAAAATGTTGAGGGTATCTCCATATCTCTTGTATCAAACACTACAATTTTAAAAACAAGTATGAAAAAATATTGCTATACCTTTGGAGATGGTGTGAGATCAGAAGACCAGTCCGATAATGACAAAGGAGATGATGTAGCACTAGGGCCACTAGGTACATATGAAGCTGGGGAATACACTGAATTCTCAGCAGAATCATTGATGGTCATATTTTTCTGCTTTCGACCATCGCTCTGGCGAAAGAGTGCTCGATGGAGCCGTGGAGAACCTGCCATAAATAGCCATAAAAATAATTAGATTAAAAACAAATCCAGAACTGTAACAAATTGGATAAAAAGACTGTTGATTAATAATTTCAAAATCATGCTAATCATACCAAGAATTGTTCTTTGAGGAACCGGTATTGTCATATCTGATTGATGCGGTGTAAATTGCCCATGGGCAGGTAATTGATAACCACGTTTTGGAGACAAGAGTTGTCGAATTTTAGAACTGGCTCCTTTGGTTCGTGAGCCCTCCCACATTTCATCTGGTGAATTTGCCACTGATCCTCTATGGTCGAGATGCATTTCAAAAGAAGGCCCTTGACAGAAAAAAACAATATTAACCAAGCACTATTTGAAACCCCAGATATTAATAAAAAAAGACCACAAGGATCTCAGTTAAACATTTAACAAAAGAAAATACTTACCAAAGCTTGGTGATGGAGGAAATGCAACAGGTGGGGGCTGATACAAAGCAGCATTTTTAAGTCGTGGCTGCTTGTGACTTATAGGTGTCCTTTGCAGAACATCAGCTGAAGCCCCAATGGAATGTTTAAGGACTCCAGCAGAATCTCTATAACACAGAGAGAGCAATCCAACAATGTTACAAGTATGGTAATAGTAAGCTCTAAAGCTCGATTGAGAAAATAATTTAACTAACCTTAAGTCAGTAAGGTCAGTAGAGGGTTTTGAAGTTCTTGGTACAATGGCTGGGGGCTCTACATTCATGTCTCTGTGAGTATTGGATCCTGCTGCAGGAAGTATTGTCCGCGTTGCCGGAACTGGCCTTACCGATAGTTGCTGATTAGGCAAAGGTGATAGTAGAGGTGGAGCTGGTGGAGGGGTCCTTCTTTTCTCAAGTGATTTGTGCCTGGATAGAACTGGGTCCTCAGTGTAACCTGTATAAGCTATCAGTGTAAATTCAGCATCAAAATAGAATTCAAGGCAACTGAGAACATGTAATTGATTCATTAATTGTCAAGTTAATTTTCTTTTTCAGGTTTTAGTATAAGCACAAAATGCAAGAATAATATTGCAAATAAAATAACTTCTAGGCACCAGAAGACAGTACTGCTGTGCACCAAGGAAGTGGTAGTGTGTCGTGCATGCAATTAAATTAAGCGAAATCCAACAAGATGTCATGCATTTTCTTGTTAAAAAGGTTTTCAAAAAACATGGTATGAATGGAGGATTGAATTCTATTAATAAGTCAACAAAAAATAATAATGCAGAACAATGGCTGAAAAGTCAAACGCATGCAAAAGATTTAAATATCAACTCTTGTCCGAAGTACCTTTTATATCTTTAGACAAACAAGTAAAAAAGGGGTAACCGAGCCAGTTAACAGAGTATCCACACCAGTAAAATATGAACCAAAAATACAGTTTTATCAAATACTGCTATAATAAGTATGATTGAGTAATGCCATAGGCATACCTCCAAATCAAAATATAGCTTTTAACATATTTTTCATATCCAGAATGACATTATTTGCATTACAAACAATTCCACTAAAACTTAATTAATTTACAAAATGGTAACTTGAAGGAGCTAGAAAAGTCAATTGGCGCCAATCTACATCACAGAAGTTATTTAAACACAATCCAGCAGTTTACCATACTCTAATTGCAGCTTGCATTAATCACATTATATTACTTTCAGGTTTAGAACAAAACAAACAAAGCTTTAAAGCTCAGCAAAACACCCTAAATTTAGAACCTAAAACATTATCCAGAAAAATCAAGGAATATAATTGTGTCAAATACAATTCAAGCTTTGGTCCCCTTGCTTTGGATACAAAACTGTTATCTTAAAAACAGGGGTATTCAATAAAAAGGGTAGGAATAGCACACCTCCAGGAGAACCTGTATTTGTACCATTACCATAGGCAATCAGCAGAGCTCAATGCAGGCACTAAACCTAGCTAAAGGGACTTTAGGTCGCAATCAAACTACGAGGCTCAAAACATTGTCCCCAGAGGGGTAAACTTTTCCTAGAACGCCTTTCATTATTGCCAATCTTCACTATCGAACAAAACACATACTGTTATAATATTTGTACTGTTATGGTCGCATTCAACTATTACTGACTACATATCACGCAATACATTATACTGACAAACAACTGACAAAAAATTGATAGTTAACATTCAAAGAATTGTAATAAAATTGGTCCAATTGGGACAACAGTACTAAAAATTACTGGAGATCTGTAAATATAGGCAACCCACAGGACATTGCTCCAGCCGTCAGTTGGGCTCAAAACCGCCTATGCTCAAAATTGATACATGTAGTAAACTGTTAAATTGACAGATAAAAAAATGTTAAAAATATGAATTGATAAGACAAAGAAAAAACTGAAAATAAAGTTATTAAAATATAAAACTAAGTACACTTAAAAAGTTAAAGATAGTGGAAGAGGTGTTTAAACATGCTTACCATGCATAAATATACCACATGACCTTGTATGTTGTTTTTGAGTAAAAGTGCAATTACCATGCAAAGGACAGATTTTTCTGAAGAAGTCTTTAAATTACAGCCAGTGCAAGTGTCAACTTGGAAGCAAAATCATGCAAGTGCTATGAGTGTGGGCACACATGCTCACACTCACCCTCGCTTGCTTCACGATGAACTGGAGAAGCAGGATCCCTTTCTTGCTCCCTAAGCCTGTCTTGCTGCTGAGAGTGAATGTGTTGGTTCTGTTGGCGATCTTCTTCTTGACGTTGAAGCATGAACTGTTCTAGTGTTAAAGTATTCGGTGTATCATCAGCACGTGATCCAAAACTACGGTTATTTCTTCTGTAATGAATTTAAAATTCTATTAGAATACCTTAAGAACCTGAACAGCAAAAGTGGAGGGTAGAAAATTTGCTTACCTGACATCCTGCTCCCCATGAGGACTAGTCACACTTCTCACAGATTGTGAACTGGTTGGGTCAACAACAGTTTCATCTCTACTTGAGTTACCATCAGAGTTCTTTGAAAATGGTGGACAGTGTTCAGTAGTTACGACACGTCTATAACTTTTGAACTGAGATGTAGGAACTGGCACATTCTGACTCTTACTACTTGACAAAAATCGCAGCACTTTTCTATCCAGGCTGTGAGGAGCAGATGGTACCTCTTGAGATTGATCCGAGCTCGACAAACTAGTTGCAGAGCTGGAAGACTGAGACGACAACTGATTTGAGTATTTGGATCGATACCCAAGTTTCTTTAGAGACCCAAATCTTTTCTGGATGTCATACCTAAAATCAGATATCAAGATATGAAAGAACTGTAGAATATAAATATAACACCCATGTACAATTATATCAACCCAATAAGGCTAACGTTTTAGAGTCACTGGAAGATGCAAGATTTTGATGTGAACGAGCTGGCTTGGGGCTTCCACCTGCTCCAACAACATTCGAGGAATGGCTAGAATGGCCAGAGAGGAAGTTTGTAAGCTTCCGCATTTTGGGGCTTGGGAAGCACGAGTCAGCTATCTCAGCCTCCTCATCACCCTCATCTTCAGTTTCACTAAACACAGCGCCTAATGAAAAAAAATCATTAAATATACTTTTCTTATCTTCACATCAACAGGCAAGAAAGCACAGTAATCCATTCTCACCTTCTGCGGCTGAGGTTTTTAAAGTTGATACATCAATAGCATGAGTTGCAAATGAGAGACAATCAAGCCAAGCAGCCAACTCCTCATCAGACTCAGCAGCAAAATAGAACACAGTACCTACACAACCAAAAGTAAAATTTATCAAACTTGATAAGATAATAATTCGACAGGATACAAATGTTACTTTTAAAAATATATAACCTGTGTGGTAAACTTTGAAGGCAAACTTCCTTGATTTAACTTCTTCAGCTTGAGAAGTGGTAAAACCCGGTAAGGATATGAAACAATCTGCCTTGTGAGCCTAGAAGAAATTAAATGGTTATTTTGGGATTTTGAATGGGAATATATACAATGCATTAAGTTAAATGTAGCACAATATACTGTACCTCTCTATTTTTAAACCCATAAAATGTAGTCCCCTTTAGAATAAACCACCCTTTGATCCATTGGGCACCGCTATCTCCAATTCTCAGTCGCCGATACAGCCAGCCTTGATAGTCTCCTATTCCTAACTCTTTAACACTTACTGAACGTCTCTCTGTAACAGTTATTATTTGAAATCCAGTGGGTTTTTTTTAAGATTAGAAAATTCAAAACAAAAACATATTTAAAAAGAAACTTACTAGCTAAAAGCGTATTCTTCTTCCGTAAAACTTTGGGACTGCCAAATACTGTTTTAGGCCCACTGGTTTTGGTACTCATTATAGTACGAAATACTGATTTATGTTGATCTAGAGGAACGGAAGGAGATCTGTTTGGCGGGGTAGGTCGAGGTGGCGGTTCGGGTGGGCTGACAGATATCTTCACAGGAATCTTGGGCTGCCCAGAAGATTGGGATGAATGATCTGGCATATCACTTGATGAATGATGTCTTGATGGAGGGTTTGGTGGTGGTTTTCTAACTTCTCCTTTAAAAAGATTAGGTGAAGCAGCATCCATTGGAGAAGAAACATGATAGGAATCAGTTTCTTTAAAGCTATGTTCAATATAAGGCGAAGTTGGGGTAGTAGGTTTTGATTGGCTTGCTAAATGAAAAGATAATTTGGTATGTGGGCTGTTACGATTTGAGTCAAAACTTGATTCAGAATTGTCAAGTCTTGGAGATAGTGAAAACTGAAAATGATTGCCATTGTCAAAATCATCATCTGGTTTAGGATACAACCTGTGAGTATTTATATCTGATATTAGATCAGGACTATTTAGAACATTGGTTATTGTTCTCGAGAAACCAGCATTCATTCTGTGGTTATCACGCATATCATCACAGTCTTCATCACCATCCTTGCCACAATTAGAATCCAATAAGTGACGGTTGATGGTTTCAACGACTCTTCCATGTAAAACTGGGTTTGAATTCATGTCACAGTTATCACCTCTAGGAATTTCTTCTTTATCTCGCCCCTTCACTGAACTGAACGATGCAGGTTTGATAGTTGGAGGAAACTGAAAAACTGTAGGTGTAGAATGATCCTGAGGTCTTCTGATAACAGTAGTAGATGATGATGTTAAATCTGGCATTGCTGAATAATCACTGCAAGATTCATTGTTAGAGCGAATGCTTATGGATCCAAATTTATCTGCACTTTCTGTTTCACCAATTGGTCCTGGAGATTTTTGATTAACTTCCAAGCCCTCCAACCCTGACAAATCATAAGCAGGTGTGCTAAAGCTTTTATCCAGTCTCCCTCTTTCTCTGTGGATCGGTAACTCCCCAACTTCACTCTCAGTAGATATCTTGCGTGTTTTTTGAATGAAAGATGGACAAGTATCTTCTGTTGTAAGACTATCAGGAGTCCTTGGTTCTTTCTCTCCTGATATTAAACCTTTAGTTTCAACATCTTTACCGCTAACTTCAGCAATTTGGATTTGGCAATCACGGGGGTCAACTGTAAGTTCGAGTCTAGTAACAAAACGTTTTTCATTTTTTGGCTCTTTTGAATTTTCACTTGAAAAAGTTTCCCCTTCTAGAACTGATGTAGGCAGACAAATATCATTTCTACTATTTGAATGGACATTAAGATCAAATGGCTTCTTATCACATTCAGATAAACATGTGATTCCTTCTGAGGTTTTTACATGCTTCACTACATAATCCACTTGCTTGATAAAATCTTTACTAGAGGACTTTTCAAAGCCAAGGCAAGTAGAAGGTCGTTCATTTTGTTCACATGGAGACTTATTCCTGAGAACTCTACATTCTGGATTGGAGTTGTGCGAGTCTGGAGTTTTCCCACTATATTTCCACTTTTTTTCTAGTTTTAACTCTTTCCAAAACTAGAGAAATATGCAAGAAAAAAAATATTACAAAACGTCAATATATGCTTTGGGTCTAGGGAAAAAATTAACAAACTCACCTTTTCCAAATCCACTGGAGGTAGATGAGCAGTAGGGCTGGAACCAGTAATAGTTGCGCGCCGCTGCACAGGCACTCGAGGTTTGGGCAAGTATAAGCGCATGCTGGTGGGAGAGGTGTGTCCTTCCAGCTCATAATCAATTGCTTCATCACAGCCAGACCCCGCATCATCAGACTCAGAGCTAGATGAGATAATTATTGAAGGCTCTAAAGGAATATGCTTAGAGGGTGGAGTTTTAGGAGCAGGTCTGAAACACATTGAGACCAAAATTTCAAATTATGAAGATAGTCTAGAAAGTAAGTTGTAAAATACAAACAAAAGAATTTAAATACAGCACCTTGAGACAAGTATTTCAAAGTCAGGGATGGTAAGCAGTTCAGGTCTAGGGGATGGAAGATTGTCATGCCATCTAGTATATGCAGGAGCCCTCTTTTTGCTGGGAAGTCTGTACGGCTTCATGTAAATTTGACCATACACTTTAGTGTGCCTTGGCCTCTTTTTTAAAGTCAAAAACACTTCTGTTGATGATTCTTCAAATAACGCCATAACTTTCTTTCGTTGCCATCCAACCTAGAGCAATAGATCAAATTATTCCCTCTTGCAAGGTGGCAGCAATTTTTTTTTTTAATGCAAGTACGGTCACAAATTAAAATTAGATTAAAATCTACTAACAACTGTCTGGTAGTTAACTTGCACTACTTCATCCCCTTCTTCCACTTTCCCACATTGATGTGCTGGTGAGCCAAATTTGATTTCTCCAATTTGATGGATACCATGGAATGATGGTACAATAAAAAAACCCTGAAACATAGTTATGAAATTAGCTTTACACAAAATAAAAGTAAATTCACACTGAATTGAAACCATCTCATCTCACTAGATCATCTCCTCCTCTCTTCCTTAGAGTGGCTAAATCTAGAGATGCAGGTTGAAGGATCAAAGGATCAGCAATATCTTGAATTATTCCGTCAGCAATATTAGCCAATTTTCCACAGCTAGTTCGTATTTCTTCAACTGGCCTTTCTGCGAAACGGTCCCTCTGAGCACATGTTGCAATTTCAAGACTGCATTTCAAAAGGTCACTTTTTCTATCTGCATACTCAAGCTGCCCAGAAAATGGTGACCTATGGTTTGGAAATTGACTTCTTTAACATTCAGAATAATATAAATTTGTGAATGAAAGACTCTAGAGATTAAATGCACAAACCTGTCAAGCCAACATACTAGAGGTTTTACAGCTCTCACAACACTTGCAACATCTGCTAAGGTTTGAGTACTAACAGGTTGAGAGTCAGTGAGCTGGCGTAATTCATTGTGCAAGCTGTGAGCTTGACATGACAGCCTGAGAGCCAACAGTTGGAGATTTTCTCTGTCCAATTCATAGTGCTAAATGTGACACAAAAAAAAAATAAAGTCAAATTTACAAATTCTGGGAATCCTAGGGATTTTATCACAATCCAGGAGCTTACAAAGTTTCTCAGATGCTCAACAGCTTCCAAAATTAGTTCTTGATGACCAAGCCGCTTAATTCCTAAATTGTCTAAATCTTCGGACCGAACATTTAACAGCAGCTGCCCGTTGAAATGATTGGCCAAAAAGAGTGGTAGATACGGTGCTATTGAGTTATCAAGACCTGGAAAATAAATACAATAATAAAAGTAACTGTGATGATAAGGTTGCACTCACAGCACAAGAGAAGCACTATACTCGAGACATGAATTAATTTTTAAAAATACGAATTAAATACAATGGCACCAACACGAAGAAGGACCATAAGCTTTAATTCGTAAACAAGAAAAAAATGCTGAGAAAATTGACTACTCCAAAAATAGCTAATGGACAACCTAACCTCTCACGATCATGACACAGACGAGAAACTAACTAAAGTATTTACACGAGAAAAGGAGAACAGCAACCCCAAAAATAGAGTGCGACTGTACACAAAAACTTGAAATAAACATACAGAGCAATCAAAACACCAAAGTCTACAGAGAGTATTAAAATGATCCAGTGGGAACAACGGAAAGGAGTCGTTTGCCTAAAATAATACAGTACGATGATAATTAACGACTAGGAAACAGAAACAGTAAAAGAAAATATACCTTTTAGCCATTCGGTTACTTGGTCAGGTTTCCATTCGGCGACGTTGACATAAGCCATGTCCTCAAATGTTCACAACAATAAACATGACAACTACACCTGACTGTCCATTTGCAGCTGTTGCGCTTGCGCTTGCCCTGCCCTGCCTTTACTTTAGTACGGTCGACCTGCACATTCACATTGCAATTGCGTTTCAGTGACAGTGGTGACTTATGAAAAAGTTTTGATCAGCTGTCCTTGACATTGATCTCTGAATCTTTTTTTTAGACAGTCCCTAGAAGACTGTGTCTACCAGAAGGAGAAAACGTGCCCCCTCTCTCGCTTCTCCTCTAGTTTAATCCACTTCATCCGGAGCAAGCAAGCTTGAGCTGTTGAGCAGACAAAGGTTGGCAACACTTTTCGGCATTGGCGGGGAGTGTATTACAAACGAAAAATTCCTCCTGGAATATCGCCATCGCCATTAGGTGATTGAGACTAGCGGGGCACCTGCACACAACCTGTGCACAACTGATTGCAATATTGTAAATTGCCATCCCGGATCAAATAGCAAGTGAGATTGAATAATCTTTCTTGATTTCTTGGAATCCTCTAAGCGGTTGTATGGAGACGATGGCGACGGCACAACAGAACGTTGCTTGTCGCCAAGCTCTAGTACTCGAACATCGCATTATCGCATCACCTCGGAGAATGTTCACTGAAACATTTGAAAACACTTGGCGGCGGCGTACTGTGGGCAGAAAAACTAATAGTGTGTGGCCACATTGTGTTCATGCAGCACCGAGTGGTAGTGTTTCACAATTTTTTCCATTTGTATTCCCCATCTTGGCAAGTGCTTACCATGTGTGTAAGAAGAATTAAAGGTGTGGAGGAAAAACTCGGCTGCCAGGGCAAAAATTTCATATTTTGTTGATATTGGAAAGTAGGAGAAGGGAGAGTGCATGGATCTTCCATGAAGGTACTACGTGCCCGAGGACCGAGGGTCGTCAGGTAAGCGAAGCGAGTTTAATGAGACCTTAGCTCAACGAGTTTTTACGCGGCTTTGCCATGTTTGCCTCAAGGACACACTGAGTTGGGCTTTACTGGCAATTTCGTTTTTGTTGTTTAAGGAGCCGGGAGGGGGGG